TTAGTAATCTTGAAGAAATTGAAAGAAAGGGAAGTTTAATTTAGAGAGGCCTTCTGCCCTGCTTAGCTGGGGGTCACCTGTCCAACATGAAATAATAATGCATTCAACTGTCCATCTTATAATAAGTGACCTTTGCATCACCTCTGTCACTGGTGAAAACTGCAAATAGTGGGCAGGAAGGTACGAAATAACAGAAAGAGCTGAGAGATCCCTGTGACCTTCATGTGATTATGTTTGTGCTAATGCATAGAGGACAGAAGCCCACACTCCGACGTCTGAAGAACCTGATTCATTAAAAATGCATTGGTTGTTAACAAGGGAATCTTAAGGTGCTGGATGCTAAAGGGATGGTCAACACATGGTGGGGACATCAGGGATGAGCAAGTCCTATTTGCAGTTTTGTTTCCTTTTCAATCTACTGCAGCCACCATGTCCTCTTCACAAAGATAGTGGGATAAGGCTTCAGAAGGTATATACCCACTTAGGGTGAAAAATATTATATGTGTTTCTTCAAATGACTTTTTTGAAAGAAGTAAATTCAAAACTCTACTCTGGATTATACACCTGTTTACTTTTGGAGTAGCTGAGAGGTGCTGAGCCTTGTTTGCCTCCGTTAATGAAAAATCTGTTACAACAAAATTTTTTAAAAAAAAACAATTTGCAAAACAAATATGAACTTGCTATGAGGAACATGGTAGCACTCATCAGTGACAGCCACTCAGGAACTCTGAACTTGAGCAGGGTGGGGAGAGGGAGCTTGGGAGGCTCCATCCTCAGGGAGGCACTAAAGGGAGGAGTGTTGGGCTGTCATCCCTCTCAACTCTGTGAGTCACCATGTTCCTCCAGGGCTGAGGAATCTATAGGAAACTGCAGGTTTCAGATGTGAGATCACACCTGGAAAGATGGTGTTGTAGGAATGAATGGTCTCTGACAGCAGGCATTTTAATAATTAAAAACCAGTCTTTGCCAAGTACACTCCCCAAACTCCTAGTCAGTCTTTCAATGTCTTCACTGTCCTTTCTGTAACAGATTTAAATCTGGTTTCTCTGTATTTGCAAAGAATTAACACATATTACATAGCTATTTAAAATTCTGTAGTATGGCTCTTTAAAATTAGTTTTTACACTCCTTGAGTTACCTGTGAATTAATTATAATTAATTTATAACAAAAATTAATTATAATTAATATAACAAAAGAGAGGTATCTGAGAAGGTTCTTCCCCTTTCTGAGCTAGAAGTCAATCAGGATTGTTATGAGACAAAGTTCCAAGAGAAAAAACTTGGAAAGCCATGGGGACTGCCAGATGAAGATGCATCCACTATTCATAAAACTAATTGCACATGGTATCCTCAGTGCTGAGGAGATTCAGACTCCCTTGTGGGCAGCTAAGTCGAAATGTCCATAGAAACCACCTCTTAGAATCTCTGTCAATAGCCTCCTGTGGAATGTGACCCTCTGTGTGTTTGAGAAGCTCCACAAATGATTCACAGTCTCAAGTGTGGGCCTCTAGTCCTAGCCATGGTCTGTGTGAGAATTTGGTACCTCTTTGCTGGTATCTTGGTGCCATAGTTCCTATGATGGAGGTGCCATCATTATCCCTGACTTCTACAAGAGGAAGCTGATGTATAAAGAAATTAGGATACAAGCCCAAGTTGGTGCTCTTAGTTAAGTGGCAGAGCTCAATATAAACCTAGGCAGAGTTTAATGTTTAAAAACATCCCTGCCTATAACCCTTCCACCAAAGTGCTTTTCCTTTCTGTCTGTGTTCATCAGCTTTGTGTCATGAGGAAAGTTTCACCATTTCATTTTGGTTCACCATTTCAGAGGTTCTAGTCCATGATCCATAGCTTTGAACCTGTAGGGAGGCAGCACATCACGGTGGGGAAGCCCGTGGTAGAGGAAAGCTGCTGACCTCACAGTGGATGGAAAGTAAAGAGAATGAGAAGAGGGGCCAGGGCCCTGATGTCCCCTTCAAGGGCACAGTTCTAATGACTCAACTTCCTCCATAAGGCCCCATCTCCCAAAGGTTTCACCACCTCCCAGTAGTGCCCCAGGCTGACACCAAGTCATCAGCACATGGGCTATAGCAATATGCCAATTAATTGAGGTACAATTTGCCAATAAGCTAGTAATTTGAAGATACTTCCAAGGCTTAATGTTAAACAATTGCAAGTAGTCTCCTTGATGCCAACATCAATCTTAAAGGAATTATACCTTTGCCAATCTCTATTGTTATTGAGTGAATACTCATCACATATGAATGATATCCCTACAAGAAGTAGGGAACCTGCAGCCTAGTTCCATGACCCACTGAGCTTGGAGTTGCTGTGTAAAAAGCATAGGAATTCCCTTCAGAACTGGCCTCAGGGAACTTTCTTGGGATTCCTTGGTCCCCAGAGATGTAAAATATTTTCCAGACTCTAGGTCAGAAGGAACTTACCCAAACCATTCAAGTTTGTATTTTTATATCCATGCTCCTGGAAATATCTAACCTCAAATTCTCTGCTAATGCACAGCTAAGGGTGGCTTCAAATCTCTGAAACCTTTAACCAATGTCATTTATTCATTCTGACTGCTGGATTCCCCTGCAGCTCTGAGAAGGTCCCTATTCAGGAGTGCCTTCCAACTAGACAGATTAGTATTATGGTCCTACAAGGTTAAGCATGATACACATGTTTGGGGAAAATGGAGATGTGCATTAAGAAGAAACATTACTTTTTGATCCAGACAAGAGAGCATACATAATCTCCTCTAGCGCCTGTGAAAGACTTCATTTTACACATGAAATTGTGTGGAATTGCCCCCAGACTGCATTGAACATGGTTTTTAAGAATAGCCAGCCCTGGAACAAACTGCTGAGCACCAGAGAGAGCCTCAAAGCAACAAAGAATAAATGTAAGCAAATGCAATCTGTGTAAAGTTGTAGAGAAAAAATACACTTTTTGTACACACATTGCCTGTATAGGACCATCCTAAACATTGTAATGGCATGCATTAGGAAGAATCCAAACTGGGACTGGCACACTTTAAAGAAAAACTACACAGAGGGGCTTACATGGTACAGAAATTTTCTTAAAATTTAAGATACACACACACACACACACACACACACACATAAAGGGCTTTACATTTTTTTTTTCTGTGCATCATAAAACTTGCATTTTACAATCTGGTTAAAAAAAAAATCCATACCTGACAAATTTGAGGAAGCAACAAATTTTTAAAAACAGTGAAAATTTTTAGCCATTTGCAGATTAACCTAATCTGAATGTTTGATTTAAAGCATCATTTTGCGACCAAGTAACTTATTTGCAGTCATAAAGTTCTGCTGAGAATTTTAAGGCAAAAATAGGAATCGGGTATATAAGAACAGACACCATGAGATTACATTGCATAAGGCACTTTCTCATTTACAATGCTCTGCTTTTCAAGCATAATAAGTAAATCATATAAAAAATTTAGAAGAAAGATCTTCTCACATTATGGGGAAATTGCTGGCAGCTTCTGATAGGTCATCTTACCCTTGTTATTAAATGACAGCGATCATTAAAATGCCAAACATATTTTGACAGAATTCACTTTATAAAATGTCAGCAAGTCTGTGTTTTTATTAGTTTGTTCCAAATCAATTTAGAAATTTCAATAGAATGCTTGTAAGTATTCCCCAAGCAATGTCCATTCCTGACTTTCTGCACACAAAAAAATATTACAAATTAATCAGATTTTCAGATTTCTGCATAATGGCTTTGCACGTTTATTGCTTAATCCTATTATAAAATGCTGTTATGATTGACACATCGCTGTGGAGATAGAAGTCAATTGAATAATATGTAGCAGTCAATTTTATTTGTAGCTTAATGTGCTGAAGTATTTTTTCCACATTTCCATTATTTATAAGTCTGTCCCTTTGGAGAATATATAGAAGAATTTGTTTTAAATGAGCCAATAATACCTTCTTTAAAATTTATAAGTGTGACAGAACCATATCTTTTTTTTTCCTCGGTCGTCCATAGCATGCCAGTAAACAGGGTTTGAATTGTCTTCCACTTGCTATTCATAGGACAAACATCAGGAAAGAGGATCTTGTTAAGATTTGCTTGGAATTGGATTTCCACCATCCCATTAGAAAACTCCAAGAAAACAAAAGCTACCAACTAGAAACCTTCAAAAATGGCTGCCAGTTTTGTTTGTGTATTCACATATTTATTGTTCTACTATTGTCTTAACACTATGGTTTGTCCTGAAACAAAGCACATAAGCACACACAGAGACTCTAGTGTTCAAAGGACTTTAAAGATTTGCTGTTTTGGTGTTTCCTGCTTTGTAGTCTGAAAGGATTCCAGCACAGGAAACAAGTTTTGTTCAGTGCTTAGCATAGTGTGGGGCTCCCAGGAGTTACTATGGGATTCCTCCTCTTTCAATTAGCAATCAAGAAACTTGCTGAAGGAAATCCATGGACTTGTTGGAATATTTTGAAAAGTGATTTTTGAAAGAGGCTTTGTTCTTAGGAAAAGACACATACAAGATTCAGAGTCTGAAGCATGTGTGGAAAGAGGGATTAGGGTATGAAGAAGAGGGAAGCCATATTAGGGGATAATGTGGATGAACTTGGTCATGTCTGAGATCGAACCATTTTGACTTTGGAAAATTAGATAAGCTGTTGCTCACTTGTGCACAAAGGACACAGTTCCCCATGTGTACCACACACTGCCAGGCACTATGCACACTGATGTCTCATGCAAACCTCTTGGTGCAACTGATGATAGTATTGCTTTCTCCACTGTCCTCGATTTCTACCTTGCTATGACTTTGGCCTTTTTGAATGTCCCTTCGAATCATTTATGCAGTTGACAAGTGATTTGAGGACTAGAACTATTGATAAACTACTCTGTCATATCATTTGTCCCTTAATGCTCTGTGACATCACAGGGAAACGGGGTCATGTGCAGTTCCCAGGCTGGATCTCATATTAAGGGAGCATGTCTCTTTTGAATTTCAGGGGCCAGGGGCAACGCGGCACCATCAGACCCAGGCACTCCTGACCAACACCAGACTGGCCAGACTCACCCCCCATTTCCCGTTGGGCCACAGGTCAGTATCTTTCAACTGCTATCCATTAGGCTGCATTTAGGATGGCTTAACCATATAAATAACCAAATAAATAATAATGAGTTAAATCCAATTAACTCCAACAGAGCAAAGATGGTGATAAATTTTCGTATGGGAAGCTATATGTCTACATTATTTATTAAATACCACCAAGAATATGCATTTGCAAAACTATTCTCTCTTCTTTAAGGAAAGTTTGTTTTAATCATTTGGAAACATTTTTCCCCCTCTTAAACCCACTCCATCTGTTCTCTTGGTTACTGTGCAGTTTTCTTGAAAGTAAAACTTTAATGACTGGAGTGTGAAGAAAATTAAGTTATTTCAACCTTACTATAGCCATTTTTGAAATACAAGATGTGATTTAATATAAAAAAGTTAATGCAATTTTAATGCAAGTTCAGCTTATTGGGTTTGACAATACTGTACATCACACATAGCTCCTGCATTAATAAAGAAATACATTCATTATTTTTTAAAGTCCAATATTTGTTTTTTGCAGCCTGGTGTGGGTTATATGGAGATGTAGAACACAATTATAAAAGAGTGAGCTTTTTTTAACCTCTGTCGTTTAGTATGAAGCTTTCAGAGTTCATCCTATTTTTATGGAAGGAGATATTGGGGACTTTTCCTTCCGCTGTCATGTTGTTCCTGGAAATTAATCACTTTCAGCACATTGAGGGCTTGCCCAAGAGATAAGCTTGGTTGGTCTTGTTGTTCTAGTTGCTACCAAGTCTCCTAATAGCCTCAGATCCTATCCTCCATCTCAGAGCAAGTCTGGGTAGATATCTATTGGGTTACCAAAGCCCAGAGAGCATTTTATGGAAATTTCAGTAACTTCTTTCTTTGTGTTATACCCTGTATAATGTTGTTGTTACATCATGCATGTGTGTGTGCACAGATGTGTTTGCAAGTGTACTAGTCCTAACACACTCCAATACCTCCAGATTAGGTACATAGCATGACAGATCCAGGACAGTGAGGAACGGTGGCACTGTGACAAACTGGAGGGACATGGCCTGCTCTCAGCCCACAAATCCACTTTAAAAATCCTTCAGGCCAATAACTTCAAATCTATGTATGTCATCTTAAGACTTGCCTGTTTACCTTCCCATTTAACATAGTTCATGGCAGTGATGTCATACCAAGAGTCTGAGGGTCACCTTATAATTTTATTCTTACACCCAAAGTCTGTTTATTTTGCTCTTCAAAGTAATTTTGTATTTTTTTAAAAAAAGAGACATACAACTATTTGATGTGAATTTGATAAAGTGTGAAAATATATTAGGAACTAGGTCCATGGGGTCTAGTGAAGAGGTTCTAAATCTGAGCTGCTGGAGCCCAAAGGCTTCTCCAGAGTGTCACTGAAGGGACATGGAGGGTACAGAAGAGGGATGGCTAAAGGTAGGCTCAGCCTTTGTACTCCTCTCCTCATCATTCAAATGCAGTAGTCCCACTCTTCTACATCTGTTCTTTGTATTGGTGAAAGGGGTAAAGTATGGACTCTGGAACCACCCTCCTGCACTTGAACTTGACCTCCCCACACATACTATAAGTGGGTCTTTGGGCAAGTTACTAATTTTCTGTACCTCATTGGTAAGATAACTGAAGCATCAGAATAGTGTCTGGCTATTATATATTGGGCTTTGTATCATGCTTCTATTTAATCATCTTTCCTTTATAGAGTCATACTGCATTTAAAAACCATTGATAAGAGTTTTATATTGGTTCTACAGAATAAAACTGAATTTAGGATTAGGTTTCGCACAGTAGCTCCCACAGGAGAATAATAAAGTCCTAGATTAAAGATGTTAAGATGAAATGATTCTTGAGGTCACTTAGCCAGGCCAGGGAAGAGATCCTCACCACAACACCCTTATGAGGGACTCACTCCAACACTTAAGCAGACCTCGTGCCCAGCAGCTGCCTTGCCACCTCAAACAATGGTTATTGGATCAATAATGTATATAAATGTGTATTTTATAATATCATTTGAATTAGGCAAAGAGTGTTTGAATAATAAGAGAACTTTTAAAGATTTTATTTTAAAAATGTAAAAAATAAATATTCTTATTTTTATATTCCATTTTAGATCTTGATGTTCTACACATGTGACTTCACCATTTTAATAATGATCATTTACTTAATTAATAATTATATGAGATTTTTGTATATTCTCCTGTTATAAACATCTTCCATTTTTCTTAAGAAGTGTCATCATAGTCCATTTTAATGACTATGCAATGTCTCATCAAGTTTCATTCTGTAACACACTATTTTCCAACATTTATGCATTTTAAAATGTAATGCATATTTCCATGCATTTATCTTTTTTCCTTTTGAATTCTATCTTCAAGCTATATCCTAGGAGTATATTCTGAGTCAAAAGGGGATGAATATATTTGCAGCTCTTGCTATGTATTTCCAAATTGCTTTCCAAAAGGATTATGTCAGTATACATGTCCTCCAGTCATTCATCTGCATAATGGTATCACTACAGACTTTTTAGCATCAAGTAAATCTTTTACATTATTTTTGTTAATAGCTGAAAATAGTATTTCATCGCTATTTTTGAACCAGAAATATCCCACCAACTTCAATGACCTCTTCCCAGAACAACACAGGATAAATTAGCAGAGAGTTTCAAATATATGAAAGTTTAGAATCAAATGAAAATTCATTGGAAGGCTATTATACAAGTGTAAGGTATTACTTTTAAAGGTATTTGAACACCTCAGAGGAAGTCTAAACTAAATAAAAAATTTCAAAGGAATAAATGAAATGTGATTTCCAAATTTTTCTTCTGACAGAAATCTCTTTTTCTGGGATAGAGTGTGATTCTTTGCTTCTTCTTCAGGAACTTTCTGACCCTACCAAAATGGAAAGACTATACTTTAAAAGCCCATGCCTTGGTTCTACTGCAAAGTGAGCTGGGTTTCTCTTGTTTCTCTGCAGCCACTTCTGACGGCACAGCAGTTAGCCTCTGCTGTGGCCGGCGTGATGCCCGGAGGCCCTCCAGCCCTCAATCAGCCTATCCTCATCCCTTTCAACATGGCCGGCCAGCTAGGAGGTCAGCAAGGACTGGTCCTCACACTGCCTACAGCAAATCTCACCAACATCCAAGGGCTGGTAGCAGCAGCTGCAGCTGGAGGCATTATGACTCTGCCATTGCAAAATCTACAAGGTAACTCATGAGTCCTTATGTGGTATAGGGCTCTACACGTTGGCAAGAGTTCTCTGAAGTGGAGAAAGAAAGTGCCCTGAATGGTAAATGTGGTTCAGAGTTGCTTCCATCATGAAGGAAATACAAAGACTTCTTTTGGAAGCAATGTTGCCAGTTGTCTATGAATCCTGAGCTTGCTCTAGCCAGGGCTTTATCAGCCATCATTTCTTAACATTGATACTGAGAACTTTCAGGTCTTCTGGAACAATTTTTGAGCAACTGTTGCAAACACGTCAAACATTTAATTATAAAACGCCTGTGTTGTTATTTGTAAGCCTAAGTTAAAACATCCCAAGTTCTTTAATTGAGCCACATGCAAAGAAAATTTAGAGATTTCTTGCTTGTGCGAAGTGGGTGGAGGATACCCAGGGCATCTTTTGGAATAATTAATTTAATGATGATTTTGCTTACTATGTACATTTGAATTATATTTATTTTAAAATTTTATTATTCAACCCCATGTTTTTGTAATGAGAAAATACTTGGATATTGAGCCTTTAAATCATATGACACATAACAGGAGTACAACTCTAATTTTGCTAAGGATGCTAATTCTTCTGAGACTATGAAAGTTTGGACTTTCTTTTAAAAAGATCTGAAGTACTGACAGATGGATTTACAAAAGACTTCATCAAAGGAAGATTTATTATGATGGAAAATGATTTGAATATGAGTAATATTCAAATTTCTCTAAAGAGAAAACTAACTTCCTTTGGACTAGTTTGGACTAGTCAAAGATATTTGTTATCTCCATTTATGAAAATGTTAACAAGTTTTTTCTTCATAATGCGGGTTTAGCTAAGTATGTTATCAGAATAACAATTTAAAATACTTTTTTAACTGGTCATAGTCAGGGACCTATATAATTTATTAAACTGGTCAGAGCTCAGTTCACAGACTAAGAAACAAAGTAAAAACTGGTGAGCTCTGGACCTGAACTTATTTGCACTCTGAATATTCTGATATCCCACCCATTGTTGCCACTTCTTAACTTTCATTTTAATGTTTAAAACAAAGTCTCTCTTAGGCCATTAAATTGTGCCAAGAAACTTGCCATTCATAAATCATGCATGCTCAGGATACGCTAATGCACAAACTTTGCCTGTTTCGATTTTGAGAGTGCCTGGGAAGCCAGAAACTCGAGATTAAGTAAATAAAGCAGGAATATACAAGGTGAAAGCAGAAGCAACAAAGTGTAGGGAGAGGCTTTTTAATGTAGGTGGATGATGAAATCTTAATGAAGAAATGGGCATTATCAAAATGCAGTCTTCCATTTGAAACATTTGTGCTTGTGGGAATATTGAATATTATAAATAAACATAAGCTCACAGAGCTCCTAGGCCATGAATTAATCCTGCTTGGTTAAGATGGACACCAAAGTCAGAGCAAAAAAACAAGTATCTTTATGGTTTGATAGTCTTAGGATTCTAGTAGCTCTCATTTTGAGGGTTCAAAATTAATGACTGTTTTAATGTAGACCTCTTCCTTCAAGAATTTTTTTTCTTAATGTCAAATTTGAGTATGAGTTTATGGTTTGAAATTTGGTTCTTCTCTGCGCCTTTGCTTTCAGAAGATGAATCCCAAGTTTTGTGACCTAATTAAGTAGGGGCAACAAAAGCACTGGCTCCTTTTATCCCTTGGTGCTTCGGACACGACTTCCCCGTCAGCATCATTTTCAGAAGTGTATTGGAGTTGACAGCCCCGCTCTTGCCCGCTCCACAAGCACAAGCAAACATTTTTTTTTTCCCCTTTGTCTTCGCCTTTGAAATTTCAGTGATGTTGGGGTGAGGGGGTGCTGTGATCATTAAAATAAAACACCTCCCAGGAACCAGTCAACAGATTATGGGAAATGCTCCTAATTTGTCTTAACATGGAGCCCCTCCTCCAACACCTTCTTTTTGAATGTTCTTATAGATAAAAAGCCAAATCCTAAATCACTGTCAGGACACAGGAAAGTTCTACCTACATCTTTCCTTGGGCTTTTCTGTCTCTTTCTTATCTTTCCACATGGTTTCTTTACCGACCACAGCTCACTAGTCTAAGAAGAAAACCTTCCTGGCTTGCCTGAGACTGGGAGGTCTCCCAGGACAGACATTTCAATGTTCAAATCTAAAACAATCCCAAGCAAACCAGGAAAAGCTGGCTGCCCAGTAAGAAGTCCAAGGGCAATAAGGATAGTATTCAGGATGTCTCATTTCTCCAATGTGCCCAAGATCAATGTCTCCCACCTAAAGGGCAATACTAGTGGTCACCTTGTAATCAGTCTACCAGAAGGAAACCTAAAGTTGATCTACCTCCCTTAGGCAACATACTGCAGCCCTTGGAGACATCCTGAGGCAGTGTCCATGGCCTGTGCCACTTCCCAGGTTACACTGCATGCAGAAGGGAGTGGCACCTGGGATAGTGAGTGGTTGGCTGGGAAGAAAATCATCTGCAGAGTCCTGGTCCTCTTTGAAACTGAACCATTCCTAAATGTTTTCAAGTCACACTGTCTCTCAAGGATGAAAATTTTGTAAATCCTTACCCACTTTCCTATAATGAACAGCCTTCTCATAGCCTATGCTCACAGAAACCTCAGCTTTCAGACTCTTTTAAAATGGCTGGAAATTCTGCCTGTTTATAATTGACATTCCATCTGCCCCAGTGATTTTATAAAACAAATTTGATTGGTGAGCGTGAGAGGGAGATTTAAGTATAATACACCTAGTCCAAATTAAGTTCTGTTCCTATATGCCACACTTTGCCCTGGGTACTTCCCCTTTTCTCATTGTAAAGTGTTAGGTTTTTATTCATGAGATAACTTGGCCAATAGGAATTGTCTGACTGCTCTCCAACCTTTCTATTCAACACTCCAGCCTTCTCATTCTTTTAGCTTAAAAGCTATAATTTTCTAAGAATTAAAAAGAAAAAGTTGCTGCCATCAGCTTCTTAATGGTTTGGAATTCAGGGATAAGTTTTCAAATATTTTCCTTTTTACTAACGTGATGGAGAGTTTATTCATTTGCATCTTCTATCAAGTAACACAGAATAGCTCTCAGGGCCTCAGAGGCCAAGCTTCATATGTGTTTTAATGAGCACTCACGCGGTGACACCAGGGTGAGCTGCTGTTCTCAGCCCAGGCAGTGAGGTTCGTATCACTGTCTCCTCAGAATATGCTCCCAGAGCATCGTCCTCAGCATCTCACAGGAGTTTGCTGCAAATACCCAATCTCCACACAGACCCATTGAACAGAATCTGCATTTTTAAAAGATCCCCAGGTGATTTCCTATGCATATTAAAATTTTTCAAATGACAGTCTAGGGAGCTGTTTTCAAAATTCATTTGACAACTCCCAGTGTCTTAGTCTGTTTGGCTGCTATAACAAAAATTACCATAGACTTGGTGATCTATAAACGATAAGTTTTACTTCTCACACTTTTGGAGGCTGAGAATTCCAACGTCCATAATTTCCGATCTCATGGAGTTCACTTCCTGGTTCATAGATGCTGTCTTCTTTCAGACCTCACAAGGAAGAGGGGGCAAGGGAATTCTCTGGAGTCCCTTTTTATAAGGAACTAATCACGTAGCCTAATCACATCTCTAAAGACCCTGCTTCCTAATACCATCACCTTGGGGGATTAAGTCTTACCATATAAATTTTGAGGGGACACACCATGTTGTCTGTAGCATTCCCCAATATTGGCAGCACTTTTCTACTAGATTCTGAGAATCCTACATAACAGCAAGTAGTGCCCTAATTAATTCTCCTGCTCTCACTCATTACTCTAGACTCCAGATGAGGATGATGAATGACTTATTAGGAACATTTTTATTTCTCTTAAGACATCCAAGTCTCCAAGACCAAGAGGGATTCTCATTTATAATGGGAGCATTATAGAAGCCCTTGTGCTAAGATTTTACCCAGCAAAAGCTTTGCATTGCTGATAAAGAGATACAATGCCCAGCAGGAAACACATCTACACAGCCAGGGGCTTGTTTTCCTTTTCTTCTCAGATCTTTCTTCTATGCAACAAAGAGATCCAATCCTTTCTAGTAAATAATGGTATCTCATTGCAAGGAGATACATGAGAGTGAGGAGTTAGAAATGGTGCAGGGTCCCAGGAACAACTCTATAACTCAGTTCCCTCCTAACCCAGAATGAGGCATGAGCCTTAGAGGCTACAAGGATCCCATAGTCTATAGGCAATATTAGCCTGCTGCTTACAGCAGGCACATGTCTATCCTCCATGGTTATTAATCTGTCTCTCATCTTCTCCTGCTCCCTCCAGCACACTTCCCTGCTGCATGGGTTGGCTTTGGCTGATCCATAACTTAGGTTCACTCATGATATGCTTTGTCTCCTCTGAGTTCACAGTCATCTTTCCTACTCGTGCATCTATTAGGAACTTTCCATTGCTATCCCTATCTCCACAGTGATTATGTTTATCCTTGTCTTCATGTTTATCTAAAATTCAGAGTATTCAAGAAAGAAATTTCCTGTTGGGTTGAGCCTTTTTATTTTTGACTACCTCACAGGTCACTGGCCAAATTTGGAGATTGACTGAACCCATGTTGAGGTGTCCATTCCTATTCCAATTAGCTATAATGTGGGAGGTAAGGTGGAAGCCAGGACGATGTGATATGGAACCAGGGAAAGCATGTTGAGGGAGCATGCCAGGCCTCCCTCACCTGAAGGGCAGTGGGCATGGAAAGTTATATATTGGCCTGTCCACTGGGAATTGCATTAGGCCGGTAGGATCTCCTGTGGGCAAGCACTGAGAATGAAACCCACTCTGAACTCTGACATGCAAAAGGAGGGCTTTAGATTCTGACCACCTCAAAGAGAAATGTTTGGACATTCTGGATAAGATCCAAACCCAGAAATGCTCTATTCAAAACACTCAGATGAGACCTAGGAATGACCTACTTCTCAACACCCTAGATCTCTACACAAAATAGGTGAGGTTTTGTGTCCTTCCCTTTTTTTCTCTTCCACTCATCCATCCAGGGTGCCTCCATTTCTGGGTTCTTTGTACCAAGCTCTTGTGACTTCCATCCCAGCAAGCCCACACCTGTGAACTGAGACTAATAATGACCACAGACCTCAAAGAAAGAAAATTACTAAGGTTGTTCTGTCGTGCAGTTCCTAAACTCCTTGACAAGTCAGTGTCTTCCACTGTACTGGTGACTTTGGATCATGGGCACGGTACTAAAAAAAATGTGAGTGCAGTTGCACTAGGAAGGAAATAGAGGTTATTAGTTGATGTGGCAAAATAAAATCCCCTTTATGGAACTCATGCCAATGTACTGGGATCTTTTGCTTTTCTTAAACTTAGGCAGAAAATAAGAATTAAATGTAGGCAGCCTCAGCAAGACTGAGAGTGGCCACGGAGGAGTTAATGGGACAGCAGAGGTAGGTCTTCCTTCTAGGACAGATGATTCAGGTTAGTGGCTTGTTCTCATAGCCCAAGCCCAAATGACCTACTAATCACTGTAGGCAACATAAACGGTGAATATAAATGTGCTATGTGGGAGATTTATATCAAAGTGTGAACATTCCAGTTAAGTCAACCATAACATTTAAATTAATGACCAAAAATACATTAGAGAGTACGGCTTAACCTGAACATGGAAAAGCAATTAGGTTTAAGGCAAGTTAAAAAAAAAAAAAAATCAAGACGACGGATGTTTTTCCTGCCCTTAACTCTGGCAGCAATCCTTCCCTGGTTTTTCTCTACTCTCTGAATTAGTCTGCTTTGTGTGGCTATCACAGAATACTTAACATTGGGAACTTTATAAGGAAAAGAGGTTTACTTAGCTCAATTCAAAGTTCATGATTGAGTGACTTCCTAGAAAGGGCCTCTAGAAAGGGCCTTCTGGCTACATCAGAACAGCAGAGAACCAGTTGTGTATATAAGGGGCCAAGCCAAGGGGTGTCCTCAATATGTAAAACCCATTCTCATGAGACTCCCTCACTGTGAAAGATCAGTATTAATCCCTTCTGAGAGTGGCATCCCCAAAACCTCACTACCTTCTACTAAGCTTCCTTCTTAAAGGTTCTACCACTTCAACACCACTACACTCAGGACCAAATATCCTATCCTTTGGGGGACAAGTCATATTCCAACTATAGCACTCCTATGTATGTATTTGGGAAGATATATGGAATAGTTTGTGGGTTAGTAATTTCCTGTGCAAGTTGTTTTTTTCTTTTTGTTTCAAGAAGTGTTGTTTTCACTAGTGTATAATTTATATACAAGAAAACGCATGGACCTTAAGCACTCAGTTCAATGAATTCTGATAATTTTATATACCCACGCAGCTTCCATCCACCACAATCAATACACAAAACATTTCATTATCCCCAAATGTTCCCTTGTGTCACTTTGCAGTCAATTCCTTCCCTCCACCCAGGCAACCCCTGCTCCCTTTTCTGTCAGTATAGATTAGTTGCATCCGTTTGAGAAGAACGTCTTATGAATGGATTCATATAGTATATATACTTTTTTCTAGATGGTTCTTCTCATTCAACATAATGTCTTTAAATCCATCCATGTTGTATGTATATCAATAGTTCGTTTATTTTAATTTTCAAGTAGAGAAATTCTCCATTATAAAGATATGCCATGGTTTGTTTATTCACAGTCATTCAAACATCCAGGTTAGCCACTGCTATGAAGGTCCCCTCCATGGAGAGTTTCCTTGATGGGGCATCTCTAGGGAGGCATCCTTGGTCACTGCTTTCCTTGTCCCTTGGCTACATCCCAGGGTCTTTGTCTGTTATCTATGTTGGCCACATCTGATGAGGGTGAATAAACATCTTTGGGTAGTTTCTCAGTCCATTTATGGCTTATGGAAACTTCGGGACCAAAGGGTTGCTTGAAGTTACCAACAATTAAAGATCTGTAGCTTCATTGGAAAAGAGATTCAGAAAAGAAACTGCTTCTGATCTTTTTGCCTAAAGTCAGTTCCATGTGCCAAGGTTTTTTTCAACTCATGCATCTTAAGTCTAATATATATTTCTTTCTTATCCCCACACCCTCCTTCTTTCAATTCAGGCCTCTATGTGAGGGCATTCTGGCCTCCTTGGCATTCTTGGGACACACTCAAGGGAATCCGAATAGCCTCTATGCCTGATGGGCTTGGTCCCCATAGAGCATCAAGCCTACTTGCTTCCTCTTCCCCCATGCCAAGGACTCCTGTCCCTCTAACCTAATTTCTTTATTTCTTTATCACCATCTATGAAAATTCAAAATATTTGAGTCATTTTCTTCCTTCTTTTGCAAGCATTTTGGTCATGCCTATTGTAGCCATCAGGCAGCAATGTTGTGATGCTTAGCTTTGATGTTACAGAGGAGAATCTGAGTGTATGATGCACTTGTAATATGTATTGATGGTGTCTCACTCTGTGCCTAGAATGAAGCCCTGTCATGGGTATATTGGTTCACTAATGTGACTCAACAACAGAGGACAGTGCCTGGCTCACCTGTAATAGGTGGCCATGTATGGGTGGATGGATGGATGAATAAATAAATTTTAAATAATTAGTATGAGGTATTCAAGTGAAAAGAAATATAGAGAACATCCAACCTAGATAAGGAGGCATGAGGAGAATGAATGAATTCTGTCAGGTCCTATGAAGTTTGGTTGCTATTCAAGTAAAAGTTAAAAGTCCCATACGGCAAGAAATTAGACTGAAGAGGAAGGAAGGGGATAGTACTGAAGGACCTTGCAGGCCACTCCTCTGTAAGAGACTGAACATCACAGAGTCTGATGTTAAAGGTGAACATACTTGAAGACAATGCCATTATACTATGATATTGTTGTGAATATATGTTTGCATTTACCTATTTATACTTGAATAATTCTAAGGATTTGAAGTAGTTTATAAAATGTATGAAAGATCAAAATCTTTTTACCACAATAAAATAAAAAATAAAAATCAGACTATGAGTTAGAACTAGAAAACAAGTCAAATCTACACATCCATTTGCATAGATTTAATCATTGGATAGTTTTAAAAAAATACCACTTGGCAAAAGATTTGCTTATTTTTTTTATTAATGCAAGGTTTTTTTATTTATCAACATTTGTTGAACTTTCATAGTGTGTGTACTAAGATTTGATCTAAATGGGGGATATAGAAGTAAAACCAAGAGGGTCCCTGAAGGCACATGTATGATAGTTGGGGAGTAAAGGGTGGCAGGGATGGAGACTTTAGACAGGGTCATCTGTCATGGTCTCTTCATTGCACAGACCTAAAGGATACAAGTGACTAAGCTGTACAATATCTGGAGGAAGAGTGTCCCCAAAAGTAGTTCTAAGTACGAAGAACAGTTAATCACACAGATTCTGGATAAAGAAATGGTGAACAACTTGATGGACAGAATGTCTGTATTGTTCAGCTCTCAATAGGTTATGCTACAGCAATAAGCACAAAATCTTAGTGTCATCCAAAATCCAAGGTGTATTAATTTCATATTACATGTTGGCTGCAGGTGGGCAGGAACTCTGCTTCACATCTTTCAAATTCTAGGATCCAGGCTGAAAAAGTAACTCTTCCCTGGGATTCCCCCTTGGCCCCTTTTTTGTTGCAAAAAGAATAGAGTGGCCCGAGCCACAATGAATGACTCTTAAAGCTTTGGCCCAGAGGTAGTGTCCAGCAATTTCATTCACATCCTGTTGGCCAGGTAAGTGGCCTGGCCAAGCCAGCTACCAGTGGAGTGGAGATGAAGACAAATATAATCCTAAAAGAAGGGGAAAAGTGGCATAATTGGAAACTATATTACAAAGTGAGTGCTACATTGTTCCACAGCCATTGCATTGAAGATCCACTGCAAGGCATTTGACTTAGGTGAACTTTAAGATTTCTTCCAAAGCTGAGATTCCATAATTCCAGACATAGTAACAATCTTAAATAACTAGAATTCAAATGATGAATATAAAAATGTATAACAAGTATTTAAAAATCAGGGACTATTTCAGATAGTAAGTAGGACTTTAAAAAGTAAGATTATCTTCTTTTTAAAGTAATATTCAGGAAAAGGCAAACTTGTAGTGACAGAAAGCAGATCAGTGGTTGCTAGGGACAGATCTGGACAAGTGACCATAAAGGAACACAGGTAATTTGGGGGTTGATGCAACTGCTCTCTGTCTTGATCATGGTGGTGGTTATACCACTCTGTGTGTTTTTCGATTTTGTATAAAACTGGGGACTATACCCTATGTAAAATACACTTCAATTTTTCAAAGAAAGATGAGGAGTAAGTGGATGCCACAGCACTTAATAAAATGTCAACTTATTTGAAAACATTTTTTAAAAGTGTGAATATAAAACTGCTAATGGAGTTAAAACCAGGTGAAACTTTGTGGAAATAAAAGACTCAAATTCTTCCATTAAAGATTTCAAATGCATATAATTTGATCCTCATTGTTTAAAAGAAGCTCAAACACACACACACACACACACACACACACACACACACACGAAAAAAATAAATACAGTCATTTCTCAGAATCTAGGCTAATTTATTCCAGGAACATGGGGTTACCAAACTCCACCCATGCTCAAGTCCCTTATGTAAAATAAGTATTAGATAGTATTAGATAACTAATACATATTAGATATATTAGTATTAAATATAAAATAAGTATTAGATTATTTATTTACATAATTTACACATGCCCTCCCACATGCATTAAGCCATCTCTAGATGAATTATATCACCTAATACATGCAAATGCTGTGTAAATAGTTGTTATATTGTATTGTTTAGGAAATAATGACAAAATTCTGTACATGTTTACAGCTACAATTTTGTTTCATAACTGGTTGAATCTGAGGATGTAGAAGCTGCAGGTATTAAAGGTCAGCTGTATGCAACAGAGTTGCTGGTAGTGAGAGATTATAAATTACTCCATTTCCTCTTTTTATTATCTCAATATTCCAAAGTGTTTACATTGGCAATTTTATTTTAAAATCAGAATACTTTCTCGTCATTAAGGTGGAAGAACAGCTCCAAAACATCATTATGAGCATTGCTAAGGTTAGGGCTACAGGTCTGACTGCTGTGTTTTAAAAAGCTACTCAACTCAAGGTGTAGTAATTCTCATATTAAAAACAATAGGACCTCAAAACGATTATATGCATTTGCTATGCATGAGCAATATTTAGTGTTAATAAAATTGTAGTTAAATGTGCTTGAGCATATCAGTTGAAGGAGCAATGACTGACAGGGTATGAGGGAGAGGAGAGGTGCAGTGAACACTCTGGTACCGCGAGGTGACCATGTGAGTTGCTTCTCCTTGTGATTTATTGTTGTGCTATCCCAGTGACGACCATGCTCAGAAGGTTGCCTCCACAGTGGCATCGTGAACACAAGAGCAGAGATCCAATACTACACACAGAAAAGGACAATGCAGGACCTGCTGCAGAAATGAAAAGAAAGGACTCCAGCTTTTAGTATGCAATGATACGCAGCTTGCTGTCACCAAGTGCGACATTAAAAATACCTAGTGCATAAATTCTTATTTGCAATATGATTCAGAAGAGCCACACATGACATGCCATACAATAATACCAAATCCACCATAAAGAAGTTATGAAAAGTAGTTGCAATGTGTCTTACTTTGGCAGTTTTCAAACCTCTGTATCTCTGAGACTTCAGACTTTTTATTTAAAATACCTGGTGAGCCCATTCTGCAGTACATTATCCTTGAAGCAGGCGTCACTAAGGCACTGGGGCATGGATTAAACTAGAAGCACATGAATGAGGAGTATGACTAGTATACTGCGTATTTAAGAGATACTGTCAATGGAATAAAGCATTGTCAAAGGATAATGGTTTCCAGCTGCCACATAAATGTCAAAGCAAAGCCAAGCATTTATTTTCAAAGCAAAAGACAGGAAAGTAATGTGATCCCCCGTTTGCACGTAATAAGACTGTAAATCCATCAGGACTTTCGATGGCATCTCGCAATGTGTCTACACTAGGATGTGCAAACTGAATTCGATTCCAAACCAGCCATCAGAGTTAGCAAAACAGAGTAGCTCTTTTCCAAGATGGCTGCCACCACAACACTGCTGATGTTTCCTAGACCACTGCCTGGTCTAGGAAAAAGACTACTTGAAATTCTTCTCAGTCTTACTCCATTACCAAGGATAAAGGACAACTGGGTTTACCTCCTTACGGTTCCTCTGGAACCAAAATAAAACAGACTTCTGTATTTAAAGTGTGGGTGGTTAGGAGGAGTATATTGAAATGGGGGAGATATTGAAAATAAAGGAATTGAAAGATGGTCTCTAGTTCCCCTTTGCCCACAGTTTAGAGAATAGAGAGTGAACATTCTCAAAAAAAAAAAAAAAAAAAGACATTTCTTCTCCTGTGTAATTTTTGCAGGGTAGATTCCCAGTGAGAAGTCCTAGCTATTATTTTCAGCCCCCTCTAGGGGAACATATTAACCTCATTTTCTTCTATTAGTTATGCCCAAAGATTGACTGATCTATTTTCACAAATACCTGCTAAGGATCGGCTATTTGCCAGGCACCATAATAGGCACTCCAATCTGGTTAGGAGGAAATACCCATAATTCCAGAAGAAAGGATGGCTGTGATACACAGCAGTGGAGTGATTTAGGAGATGTTAGTGAGGTGGGTTTGAAAAGACTGAGTGATGGTTTAAATGTAGAAGAATAAGAGGAAAGAGAGGGGAAATTGTTTGTTCCTATGACATGATTAGTTCCGATTGAAATGGAACTAGTTAAAGTTTCCAATTTAAATGGAGATACCAGATAGCCAGTTGGACTTGTATGAATCTGGAATTCAGAGCAGGATTGGTGTTGGAGATACTGATGTACAAGCCATCAACATACAAGACTGAAGCCAGGGAGAAAAGAGATTTCTGGGTAAGAAAAGGTTAGTTAGGGAAGGAACACCCCAATTCCAGCCTTAGAGAAGGAAGGCACGGGCACAATGTAGGCCAAGAAAGAATTTTCAACAGGTCTGATTGTTCTGCACCAGCTTTGCTGGGGCTCCTATAATTGTCTCTGTGTTTGGATCCTTTCCAATGGACATACTCTCCACATTCACACTGGAATCTTTGATTGTTACTTACCCCTTAGATAGCCAGAATGCAACAAGAAGGAAATAAAAAACTTTATATGTCAGTTTGCTTTTTAATCTTCTAAGGACATGCCAAGTTTCCATGTATAAAGAAGCTATTTTAAGAACTTGTACATAAAAGCTTCAACAGTGTTTTGCTCTTTTGCTGTAAAGTAACTCATTTGATTTAAATCTATTATTTAAAAAAAAATAGTTGTAGCCTTGGAACCTCAAAGTGAATATGTTCAAGTCCTTTTTTCCTTCCTTTCTTCTTTTTTGAGAACCTTTAGGTTGTGCCTACTATAGACATGTAAGGCTGGGGAAATAACACTGTTCTGTTTGGCCCCAGTGCTATGGAGGAAGGTATCTGTGCTTTGTAAAAACTATAGTTTAAATTAGTGCTGTTTTAATTTTTTGAAATCATTTTACCTTGGAAAAACTAGATCTTATTGCAATCAAAATTCATCTTTGAGAAAACCTTTGATTCCATGTTAACCTTTTCCTTTGGTTTAGTATCACCTTTTTCTAAGTCATATTTATCAATGTGCTCATGAAGGTTATAGCCAAAATTAGAAGGATATATATATATATATATGACAAATGGCAAACATAATAGGATTCGGATTGGCACAGATGTATAGGTCCATTAACACATTTTTATGCATCTCAGTTCCCCTGTGTGTCATTATGTTAGAAATTCTTATCAGAACACACACACACATATATATATATATATATTTAACATTTGACAAAAGATAATTTGAGTTTGCAGTGTTTGGAAAATAACTCACATGGGAGAAAGTTGCATTAAATAAATAATAGAGATAAAATTTATTCTTCCATATATTTCAAAGCTAATGCTGCTAACTTACAACGGAATGGTAACATGAAGACACAGTGCTATAATTTGATTGATTTGTTTTGACAGCAACCAAATAATTGAGAGTGAAAGGTGTCAGCACAGATGAAATATTGTATAAGCCAAGTTCAGAAGGCAGCCCCAGCAGCAACAGCAGCTAGAGTTTTATTTCCTTTGATTTCGTACCTTCTTCACTTGCAGTTTATTATGAAACCATGAAAGGTGCACAACTTTCTCAGCTAGGGAGACTTTCATGGAGGAGAGACAGAAGTTTGTCAAATAGTCGAACAGTGGTAACTAGCAAAACATTCTGAGACGGCAATAGCACACCAACTCAAATGACATCAGTCTTCCCCATTCTTTTGAGAGTTGCAGCTCCAGTGCATTTTGCCTCATTTTGAAGTGATTCTGAGTCAGAGCAAATATTAAATCCCATTTTCCAGCCCCTTGAAAAGAGGTGGTAACCATCTCTAGGCCCAGATAAGGCAATTATTCAACTGAAAACCCAAGTGCTCACTAAGAATAAGATTTGAGGTGCTCAGTTAATATAGAAGCTAAATGGTCAGGAGAAGATCAATTAGGACAAAGCCTCTGCCCTTAGGCAAACATTGAGCATCCTGGTTAATAGAGGGGCTGTGAATCATACTGACCAGGTTTAATTCCAGCCCAGCTGTTTGTGGTTCTGTGAGCCTGGCAAGGCTCTCTGATGCCTGACTGATTTTTCTCAGCTACTTTTTAGAGTTGTTTTAAGGATAAATGTGATACTATGTACAACATGCTTGCCATGG